CTCCTATATAAATAAAAAAATTATAGAAAAATTGCAATTATATTGTCAAACTTTTCAAAAAACTCAAAAGAGTCTAAATAAATAATTAAAAGGGTAATTAACACAAAACGTCCCTACTTTTCAACATTACTGTACAAAACGTCTCTACTTTTTTATTTTTTAGACTTTCACCCTTATTTTCACATTTCAATGCGAAAATCATCATTTTCATCCAATTTTCTATTAAAAGCTATAAAATGAGGAATATACCCTCCCATTTAAATAAAACAAAAATAAAGAACAAATTGCAACTATACCCCCAATTTTCAAAAAGTTTCAAATGAGGGGGTAAATGTCAAATTTGAAAAGATAAGACTATTTCCACAATGAGTGCAAATGATAGAGAAGTTTTTGCTAATTACTCTTATATTTAATGTTGAGCTCAACATCTAGACGACTTCAAAGTTAACAGAATCCAACCACATCTTACTCTACTTATATAACTCCCACACATTCAAAACACGTTAATATGCAAAATCGTTGAATAGAAAGGGCGTGCAAAAGCAATTTGCACTCCAGTGTTCAATTTAAAATATAGAAAATGGATACGGAAAGACAAATTGACGGAGCTTTGGCAGGATAAGATTTCACTTATCTTGGAAATAAAGTTTTAAGAGGCGTGTATGAGATAAGAGGGCCAAAAGAAGGGTACCTTCAATATTTTGGGCATTCGTTGATAGCTGATTCAAGGCCATTTCATCCCACCTTACTATATCAGGTTGCTCTTTTTCTTCATTACGGGTAGTGGGAAAGACGGCTCTTATTGAATCGGTTTCCACACACCTTATATCATGGAGCTCCTTGATATTTGGCTTCTGAAAATTGATCTTGCTTAGCAAAATATCATTGGCTCATTGTTTAATGCTTAATCAAATTGCATACATACTCCTCTCCTTGGCCTAATCTTTGAACGCCTATCCGTGACCTCGGCTTAGATATTGTGCTCGTTGACTTCTTGCACTTAATTTTGTACAAATATTAAATATGATCCATAGTCTTTGTTTTCTCCACATCGAACGATTCACTTGTTTGAATGCGGAAGCAGAATTAATCAAAAGTTAAAATTTTCTTTAATTAATAAGTAAGATCGTCTAGATGTTCACGTGTATGTTATAATAAAATTAAAAGATTTGAATCTTTTACCTATGTTCGATGATCAACATTTGAATTAACTATGATCCACGAACTTCCGGCTCATTCAATTGCAAGAATCTTTGTGTTTCAAACCTTCAATGATATTCTCCAATGCAAACACTACACGACGCGTGAGCACCTTCTTTCAATTAAATTAAGAAACTAATTTCTGAATTGGACAATTTAAAAAATCAAGAAAAATAATTTCTCTCTCTCATTCTTCTCTCTCCAAAATTTAAACATCATGAAATTATGTATTATGAATGTTGTACAATTTCATTCCATAGGATATCTTGGATCTATCTAATCTCAATTTATAGAGATAGAAGAGTTCCAATCCTTATATAATAATAATTTCACATTCAAATAGGAGTTCTAATCCAAATCCAATTAGTTTATATTTAATTACTTGTGTAGTCCTAGAACTTCAATTACAATTACAATTAAGTTTACAACTTTCGTAGTAATTACAATTAAGGACAAATCTTTATTGTAATTACAATTAAGCCCAAAACTATTATAAATATCGTAATTAAGTTCCAATACTTTATGGAGCTATCATAGGGACCTGATCGGATATATATATTTTTCAAGTTCTAATAATTAAATCATGTCTAATCGACCCTAGACCACCAAATCTAATTATTAGTCTTTGCTTTTTTCACTTAAAGCAAAAGACTGAAAAAAAGCAAAGACTGAACTTTGGGAATATATAAGATCACAAAAGCCAATAAATCTGTAATACTTTCCTCTAATCTGTCGTACATGTATTTCATCCCCATTCGAGATCCGATAATTAGGTACGAGCATAAATGACCGTTTTGCCTTTCTAATTATTCTCACAAACTTAAGTTTCATTTTCTTCAATGGTCTTGTAAACTAATCAAAGATGTCAAAGTTTATCTGTCACTAAACATTGAGCTCAGATTTTAATCGTTCAACAGAAAATACTTAAATAGTCACTCTACCCATATCCCATATTTAGGGTGATGGTTCCCAACATGAATTCATGTTCTCTACTCCGCTCATTCTCAAATTCCCAACTCATCGAGATATTTGACCAATCAAATTGATCTCACCCATTGATAAATTAAAGAGTCGTTAAAATCATGAAAAGATATACATAATCCGATTAATGGATTTAGATGAAATACATCGCGGTCTAATGGAATTTAATTCTTTGTACGGTCATGCTATAAAATTAAATTCAACACGCGGTCCATTCAATACACTCCAAGTGTACTAGTGTCACATTTAACTATTTCTGTGATAAGGATAAATCACAAATCTAAATAGTAACTCGATCAACACTACAACCTTTCAGTACAAGGTGTTATCCCTTATACAATGGTTGTGAACAAATTATTTATGATTAAAATATAAGTTGTATCACACTGTACTTCTCAATGCAAGTACTTAACTTATATTATTTCAAGTGATCATAGACACTTTAAATTTGCATGCTCAATAATAAATAATACAATAAATAAATAAAATCACAATTTATTTAGATTTATTTATAATAAATGATTATTTTATCAAAGCAAAATATATTATATGGGCACACAACCCAATATCACTCAAGGCAGGCCTCGACCTCATTATTAAGGCTCGTGCATCAACCTCATCACTTAAAGCAAGGCTAGGCTCAAAGCTTCATCATTTAGGCAAGCAGTGACGGATCCAGCTAGTGGCGAGCTAGGGCGGCCGCCCTAGCTGGATCCGCCGGAAGCCATTTTTTTGGCTGAAAGTAGATTAAGATTTTAGGTTATATTCCCTAGTTGGATTCGCTGGAAGCTATTTTTTTTTGCTGAAAGTAGATTAAGATTTTAGATTATATTACTAATAAATTTTTTTTCTTCCAAATACTCCTTGTAGCTGAAGTGGTTGGAGCTTGTATTTACATTTTGAAGGTCCCGATTTCGATTCTCTTCACACCCAATTCATTGTGCAATTTTTTTAGTTTACAACAACTACCAAAATTAATGCAATAGGAAGGAGTTGGATGAGATTTGAACCTCTACAATAATCATTGAAAGCACGACCACTGTGGCACCTATTATTTTTGTACTTAATTCAACAAAATAATATATATTACATTTATTAGGTTTAATAAAATTATAAAGATTCAAAATCATGCTCTTCCTTTAAATTATACAGTACTTGACAACAATGTCATTTGGTGAATATATAATTTATTCTTATAACACAATTATATATGTTCAATATGAACAAAATAATTGTTATATTTAAATTTTAAGCCTTGTTTTATTTTCATTTTTTTTAAAATACATTTTTATCTATCTTATTTTTAACCATAAATTTTTCAATAAAATAATATTACACGCAAATTCAAAACTTTTTTCTTATTTTTGACCTCACATTCTCCATGAAATCATTATTTCAAAATGTATTTTTTTTTTAAAAAAAGAAACATTAAAAGGGCTCTTAATACTTTATTGCGGCTGATAGTCGACAATTAAGGACCGTCCGTGTTGACTCAAAATCCTAGATTTGCCACTGTAGGCAAGGACTTGCGAAAATCGGCCTCATCTTTGAGGTGTTGAGGTTGGCCTCATCACTTGAAGCAAGGCCAATGCAACGTTTCATTGTTTAAGCTAAGACTCATGATGATCAAAGGCGTAAGCATCACCCTCATCACTTAGAGCAAGGCCCATTCTAGGGTTTGAGTGCCTGTCTCAACATGAAAGAAAGTGTATTTGTAATGAACGCTGCTTTTTGCGCACTTTTTTGGGCCTGGTTTGAACCTGGCCATATGGCTTTTCTGATTTGTATTAGTCTACAACTTAAATGAATGTTTTTGTATTTCTCTCTAAAGAATATTTTGTTAAATATATGATTGGTACATGACCTATTATTAGGTAACAATAAATATGTGATAATGAACTTCCAGTAATTTATTTGGAGCTAAACTTATTGCAAAATTAGTGATTTTTTTATTTTTATATGTCACGTGACTAAAATTCATATTTAAAAGTGGACTATCAATCTTCTGATTGGTAAAATATCGTTTGTGCTGTACCATTGATTCAAGTATTTACTCTATATTCCCAATTCATTATTTTCGACTATTCAAGACAATTCATTTCCAATTTTTGCATTCAAAAGACAATAAACATGTTATAAACCAAGAGATATTTGATGAAAAACATTTACCTCTGTTTAGGAAAAGAATACTATTCATATTTAGCGGGTGTAGTAATCATTTTATGTGACAACTTATTATTTGAAACATTAATTTTCTAAAATTCTATTGCCTCAAATAACAAGTTACCACATAAAGATAACTATTGCAATCGCTAATTATAAGTAACCATTCATTTTTAGGTGCATTAGTAATTGATATTTTGGATTATGCCATTTTGATGAAAGAATTGACAGATGCAATGACAGTAGAATAGGTGGCTACAGATGATAGGATGAAAAAGCTGATTATTTTTTAAATAGTTCAATGATAAAATGTCACATGACATTATGTTCACATTTATATCAATGTAGTATGATGCTAATATTTTTAATTATGAGCCATGCCAATTTGATTCCTACAAAATTTGGGCTTGATATTCATTGTCCATCAATAAATGATTGACACGTCATATTACATTAAAGTGTCACTTAATTTTAAGCACAAATATTAGTGAGAAAAAAGCTGAATATATTAATGTAAATAATGTATTAATTATCTCAGCTCCAAAACTTATGATCCAACACAACTCTACTGATAATTGACAATTAACCTAATAAATCCCGGGTAATAATACTCTCCCTAAGTAACCACCATTTAGAAGAAATGATTACACCAGCGACAAAATCTACTTGTGTAATACCCAAATTACCCTTCATCATGTTCCTCCCCGATTTACCTGTTTCCCAGTAATCAATTGGCCCTAGATTTTCTCCTCAAAGCTCCCATTGATCCATGTCTGGAAATTAACTTCTTTTTCACTTGATTTTTCTACATGAACTTGATTTTCATGGGCTATATGATCATTGATGGAAATTAATATAGAAATAGAAGTTGACAGTAAGCTAACAATTGAATCGTAATCTTGAAGAAATATTTTCAATTAAATTCCACCAAAATCTTAAAGTTCAATCAATCACCCTCATTTCTTCAAAGTCACTCTCTCTCAAATTAGCTTACAAAATTTTCTATCTCAAGAAGTTGTTTTGACGGAGGGAGGGGGGAAAATGAAGCAGCTGACGGCGTTGCAGCAGCAGGCCCGCAGGAGCAACAGTTTTCGAGGTGCATCTTTGCCGTTGGACACCTCTGTGGATGGCGCAATTAAGTCGCCGGCGACGATGTTTTGGCTAGTTTTTCACGGTCTTTGCTGCCTCATTAGTCTAGTCCTTGGATTCCGATTCTCTCGTATTGTATTTTTTCTATTCTTCTCCACTTCTTCCCCTTCCGCCACTACTAATCTCTACTCAGCACTCGGAACAACATTGGCATCATCCGTCACTACTTCACCTCCAGCGATGAATGGTACAGCGGTTGTGGTTGGCGGTGGGAGTCGAGTGGTGGTGGGCAGGCACGGGATACTGATACGGCCGTGGCCACATCCAGATCCGGCAGAGGTAATGAAGGCGCACCACATAATCGAGAGGGTTCAGCGAGAGCAAAGAGTTCAGTATGGGGTTAAGAGCCCAAGGACTATAATTGCAGTAACGCCGACTTATGTAAGGACCTTCCAGACGCTTCATCTCACCGGTGTAATGCACTCCTTGATGAATGTGCCCTATGATGTTGTCTGGATCGTGGTGGAAGCTGGTGGAACCACTAATGAAACCGCTGCGCTAATTTTCAAATCTGGCCTCAAGATTGTGCACATTGGATTTAATGTCAGAATGCCTACTTTGTGGGAGGACAGGCATAAGATGGAGTCTAAAATGCGATTTCACGCTCTAAGGTATGTTAGAGATTGATACCGCCATTTATTTATTTATTTATTTATTATTATTATTATTATTATTATTATTATTATTATTATTTTCCGTTTAGTCTTGTATCAAAATTTGCACTCATTTTAGTGAGACAGTACTGTGGTTACTAGTAGAATTCAATGTTCATTTAGCAAAGTATTTTGCAATGTGACAGAGTTGTGAGAGAGAGGAAATTAGACGGGATAATGGTGTTTGCAGATGAAAGTAATATGCATAGTATGGAGTTATTTGATGAGATCCAGAATGTAGAATGGTTTGGAGCAGTTTCGGTTGGGATTCTTCCACACTCAGGTGGTTCTGAAGGAATAGAGTTATCAGCGGCTTCGAGAGAGGATAATGACAAAAATGAGAATTCACAAATGCCAGTTCAGGGTCCTGTTTGTAATTCTTCAAACCAGTTTGTAGGATGGCATACCTTTAATATGCTGCCATTAATGGAGAGGAGTGCAAGGTATGTTGGTGACAGGGCAGTCGTGTTACCAAGGAAGCTGGAGTGGGCTGTGTTCATTTTGAATTCGAGGTTAGTGTGGAAGGACATTGAAGATAAGCCCGCTTGGGTTAAGGATTTGGATGTGGTTGGTAGGGAGAGAGAGGATATTGAGAGTCCATTGTCTTTGTTGGAGGATCCTTCTGTGGTAGAGCCTCTTGGAAGTTGTGGGTGCAAAATTATGCTGTGGTGGCTACGAGTTGAAGCACGTGCAGACAGCAAATTTCCTGCCAGGTTAGTCTTCTATTTTTATTCTTACAGTATGCAGTGTTACGGTTCTTATTGTTTTTGCTAATTTTTGTATTTTCATCTTGATTTTCACCTGACCATTGTTTGTAACATATGAAAGTTGATCTTAGATTTAACTATAAGTGAATGTGTTTTGGTACGAAGTTAGATAGTGGATGTTGTACATAGAATGCCGAAGACAATTTTAAATAAATAAATTTGGCGTTCTCCAGTGGCTTAGTTTCTAGATGTAGTCGTTCAATACGGTATCATAGCTGACAAAATCCTAAATTCAAGGAATCTTGCTACATGTACACTTTGGTGTACACTTTACCACGTGACATTACCCAATTTGACAGCTTAAATTTCAAATAGCTTTTTCTTCCAATTGATACCTAATGGCAATGCAAGTGTCAAAGTGTAAAAATTCAAAGTATAAATGGCAAAGTCCAAGTTCAAGTTTTCTGAGCACATATTTATGAATTATGAAAATTGTGCACCTGATAGTTTCTTGACAAAGAGAATGAAGCTCCCCTTCGTGTCAAGAGGCGCGTTGACAAATAAATTTGTCCCGTCCTAGTAGCTCAAGCGTTTAGGCGAGACAGATCAATATGGACAAATAATGCAATAACTGTTGAGTGGATGTGAGTGTATTTATATTTTCAGTTTTAATTCCTTTCATTTGAAGACATAAATCCAGACTGGTCCAATGTTGAATTAATTTTAAGAAGAATGAGGAACAAGCTGAATATATTTGGAGAAATTTCTTTCATATTTTTTTCCTGAGTTTGGCATCTGTGAAGTAGCTCCCTGGTAATGGATAGAATTCTGGATCTGCATTTTTACTAATCTGTGTAATAGTTATGTCTCTGTTGACTGTACATATAAACAGCACAAAGTAAATTATGATGAACTTGAGCATTACATTTCCCTGCAACTTGGTGCAAGTATTTCCTTTGGAGTTCATAATTTTATGCAAGTTTTCACTCGTTAATTGTGAACCCAACAATTATATGTCATGGCAGAAAATATATAGTACAGCATCATTTATATACTGATAAAATCAGTTTCACTTTAGAGTTCAATTTTCTGATATTAGAATAGAACAGAAATAAGTGAGCATTGTCTGAATACTGAGATAGAATATATTGCATCAAGAATTACTTTGCATGCATCCTCTGAAAGAGAGAAAGTCCATTATGTATTTAGTCTCACCTCAAACCATTCGTCAGGGCGGAAATATTTCTGCGAAGCTAGACACTGTCACTCTGCCCATCTTGTAGCTCGTTCCTATTAGGTGTTCCTTGGCATTGTTCATATTTTGGTGAACAGAAATCACTGATAGTCCTCCAACTGACGGACCTTTATTGTACTGTTCCAAACCCAAAAAGTTGACCCAAGTGTATGCTCCAACTCATTTATGCTGATGAAAGTATGAGCACTGATAGTCTCTCCAACTGATTGATCTCTATAGCACCGTTCCAAGCCCAAAAAAATGAACCAAGTGTATACTCCAACTCATTTACAATCTGAATATTTCTCTTTACCAAATTTCCCTCTTTCCTTGATCTGCAAGGACAGTTGATGTAGTATCAATAACAGAGAAAGAAGAAGGGGGGAGAGAGGAGCCGGAGAAGAGAGGAAAATACGGCTGCAAGCCAAGTCTTTTATTTAATCAAAATTCATCAACTGAGAAATTACAAACCAATGATAGGTTTAAATAATGAAAACCTAGAAATATAGGGCCAAGCCCATTATTTAAGTCCTAATTAAAATACGTAAACTTAAATAAAAGTCCAACTGAAACAATAATAAAAGTCCAACTAAAATACTGAAACAATAATAAAAGTCCAACTATAAAGGATGTCGTCATCAACTCTCCCGGGGTGGGAGGAAAACTCGACCCTGTCGAGTGGATATATCACCGTAGACTCTCGTCAATCTCCCAATCATAAGCTGAGTGGCTGGGCAAGTGTCTTCCGGCGTCTGTAGAAATGCGTCAGTGGCGGTCTGAGCCTGGTGTCCTCATCAACTCCCCTCGGGTGGACGGGGGGCGATCTGGGCCAAGGAAGATCCTGCTGACTCTGATAAAGCTCTAGCAAATCTGGATCCAAATGCTGTAGTGTCTCCCTGGAGATCCATGCACAATCAGAGTCTGGTCGACCAACCCAACGAACAAGGAAGCGCTGAACCTCTCCATCACTAGTGAACACAGTTTCTTCATCCAAAATAGCATCAATTTTATCTGTGTGTGCTGTGAGAGGTGGTAGTGGGTTAGAGGGGGCCAAAGAATTAGGATCAAGGTCCACAAAAGGAGGTAACAGGGGATCATCTGAGGGAATGAAATGGCCTTTATAAGCTACAAGGTCTTCAACATTGAAAGTATGGTGGTAACCAATGTGGGATGGAATGTCAACAATATATGCATTTGGACCAACTTACTTTAAAATTTTAAAAGGACCAGCACTACGAGCTTGCAATTTGGAGGCGGGTCCATGTAGACGCCGCTCTGGCCTAATGCGAACCATAACGTAATCCCCAACATTAAACTCAATATGTCGTTTATGTAAATCAGCTTGTAGTTTATAATTTGCATTACTAGCTTCAAGTTGTTTATTGATCTCAATGTGCAAATCACGGAGGTGTTGTGCAAATGCTTCGGCTGAAACTGACACTCTAACCTGTGGGGACATAGGGATGAGATCTAATGGTTTCCTAGGCTTGTATCCGTGAACGGCTTCAAATGGACTCATACCTAATGAACGATTTACGGAGCTATTATATGCGATTTGAGCGACAGGAAGGATTAAATCCCAATTTCGAAGGTTCTCCCGGACCAGACAACGTAATAAGTTACCAAGACTCCGATTAACAACTTCGGTCTGACCGTCAGTTTGAGGGTGGTAGGCTGTAGAAAATTT